GAACAAATCATTAGACAGTCTTAACATGAATGGCTAATTATAATGGAGTGTCGATCCAAATATACATAGCGAATATAGCAGACATGTCAACAACCATATATGGATATATGTCACTAAGCAACGGACTGTCAACAAACACTCATATTATATATAATATAATATAAGGAGAATACACATTATTAAAGGAGACAAGTTCATACAAGTGAAGTGGTCACAGACTAACCGAGCAAACAGAAAGAGAGACCAAAATACACACACACACATAAATATATATATATATATATATATATATATATATGTGGATACATATCAATCACCCGTCTTAATGGGGTTTATTATCATTCCAAACATAGAAGAATTCTCAGTTAATGGAAAGGTACCACCTACCTTTGACTATCTCATTTCATCTGTGGTAGTTAATGTTAAAAAAGTGTCAGTTGTAGCACTGAAGTTTATCAATACATTCAAACAGATTCGCTTCTTTTCGCTAGTGCTCTCTACTTCGTCCAATTATAATGTCATATAGACGCTGTTTACACATACATAGAATCATATTTAGAAAAATTGTTTCGTAAACAAATTTAAGAAATAGTCATTCAAAAATACCTTCATGAACAGTTTTGATGTGTCGATCGCTTGACCGTTTTGTTGAAAATTTCTTATCGCATAAATCACACGTAAATTTCATTCCTGTTAAAATTGAGAAGAAAATGACAATAAATAGGTGGTAATGTGATAATCAATAAATACAGTAAGGGTATTATCGATTACACACACACACAGACAGCTGGGCTGACCACTTGTGATTAATGCAATGACATCAGTCAGGGTTTCAAAGGTCACTTGATAGATCTTTGGATTATCAGTAATTTACAAGCTAGAGGTTAGAATTCTGGCCTTCAAATCATGTGTGAACATGAAGTCTAATTATCAAAATTAGTTATATGTCATTGCCTCAAATCCATGTGTGCACTACTCTTTTATATCGTTAACTTGTAACGACGGGAGACAAGGGCCGCCAGGCAACAGATCGTTTATTGAGAAAATCAACACATATTTATATACACATTGTACATGTACATTATTATATGTTACTATTAGCAGAGAAACAGCGTCTTCCACCTGCTTGTTTCCTCGCTGTCATCTCCTTGCGGGCGCTTCTTTCAAAGTCAGACAATACATATGGGAACGGCATCCGCTCACTAAAAGTCTGCTGTTATCAGTTGTTGAGTTAGTCTTTGTTCGTGTTTTCTTCTCATGACCAAGACCTGGGACGTAAATATTGACGTAAATTGCTGTCTGCCAATTCTGGCTAGCAGACAGCTCTCACCACAAAGTAAGTGATTAACGAAAAATGACTATTAGCGCAACAAAGTCTTCCATTTCGACTTGTATTCCACGACATTTTCTATTTTGATGAAGAAATCCAACGACAGGGAGATTTATCCGCTTCGTGGAGACTTGCATACTGCCTACAAAAACTGTAGTGAAGTGTCTTGAAGAAATTCTCAGTAATTCTGTTGACGAAAAAATGTCGTGTTTACGACCACGATAATTGTGAGGGTAAACTTGAAGGTGGCATTTATTCTCTGCATTTCGTTGGTCAACATAGTCACCAAACAAACTGACATATGTTATATATATTGATTGTATCAACTAATGTGCACCCAGAATCAAGATTGGTATTCGATCTTCTACAGGGCTGGACTACATTGACTTCTAGCTTAGAAATAGGGAGTGAAGTCGTTGGTGGAGCATGTTGACCACTTCACTTATTTGGGAAGTTGCATCAGCCAGAGTCAACGGGTTGGTCGCTGACGAAATCTCAGTACGGATAGAGAAGGCTGGTTTCACATATGCCAGTTTACACCGTTTCTGGCTTAGTAGACGTGATATCCAGCTGACTGTCAACCAAAGGACGTGTGCACTCCTCAGGAGTCCGCCTCGTCCTCCTTTATGGCTAGCTGTGGGACATGGCCGCTGAGATTATTGGAAGACATGAAAAGCCTGGCCGGATAGCTGTCTTTGATCATAGATGACTCCGTTCGATCTCCCGTGTGAAGTGGTATAACGAGGTGAGCAATATTGAGGTGAGGCATCGGTCCAGTGCTAGGTAAGTGAGATGGAAAATCAGTAGACGAGACTGTAAAGTAACATCGATTGAGATAGTTAGGATATGTGTTACGTATGCCTAGCCATCACATTCTCCCACAATGGGCAATGTAGATGATATAGGGTCAGACTGGAAAAGAGCTACCGGTGGTCAAACCAAACCAGGGCTTCATCAGTCAGTCAATGAAATCCACAACAGTCAGTTTAGGCCACATCAAAAGGTGCAGATTTCGTGGTTGGGTTCCTCAGGACGGCAAACACCAATGAAGGCTGGAGACGATCGGTGATATGGCTCAAAGTGATCGTTCTCAATGGCTGGCCGGTTCAGATGCATCCACTCCTTGTGACTTGTAATATCCAATGAAACTATATTGTTTTTCGATATTACTATTCTTTTTCCTTCACATCTCTGTTTATTATCTCTGTTTTAAATGTGTTTTTGCTTCTTTCTCTTGCTTTGTGTGCTGTATAGAGGGAGTGTGGCGACTTTAACTGCTGCACATCGGTGCAAAGTTCTATGTTGAAATCCGTCAGTCAGGTCAGAGCTGGATCAGTTATCGTGAGGCGATCACCAGCATCACGTTCAGCGTCCACTCTTCCAAAGGCATGCTACCGGCTGAGCAAGGTTTAGGAGTGCATCGGCTGAACATAAAACCTAGGACCAAGTACAAAGTCGAATGAATAGCAATGGATTACAAGCTAAATTATTTAAAGCTGACAAAAATAAACACACCACTTCTGTGTACAACATTCTCGGCTGTTTCTTCTGCGCATTAACAACTTTCGATGTGGAAAAACGCACACTCAAGAGCCACTCCGACAAATTTCACTGAAGATTTTTTTCCATTAAATTCGGAATATGATTTGTAAGAACAAGAGTGCTGAAGTATCGAGTAGTTGGTTTGTCCACTTTCTCTTTACTCTATATAAATATCCTGAATTTGTTAATCCTATAAATAATAGCTTGAAGTTCCTTTCACTGGTGGTCATTTCTCAGCGATACTCAACCAATTCATGACTTCAGATTACGCGCGTAATTTACTTAATTTACTGACAGAAATTTTCATGTGTTCGGTTACCAACTGATGTTGTGCGTCGGTGGAACAACGGTTAAACGCTCATCAACCACACCTCAGGTGGTCCGGGGTTCAATACCCGGACGACGGACGCACTCCTCTACCTCCCTAGGCCAGGAATCATACTGGTATACAGAGGGAAGATTGGGCACCAGGCTACCAACTCCATACCATATATAAATAAACAGCAGTGCTATGTTCCGTTGGGAACGTAAAGGAATAAACCATCTAACCTTTTCATCAAATATTGTATATGCATAACTGTACAACTTTCAAGCGAATTTACGAAAAGACTATTCTTCACTGGCTGACACCTAACGACATGAATATTGTCCTTACAAGTGAAAAAGGCCATAAGTTGAAAGCATCACAAAAACAATAAAAGAGACGCAGATACTTTCTCACCTTGATGAATTGCTGCCACATGTTGGCTAAGATGAGCTTTTGAGGCGAATTTTTTATCACATTGTTCACAAGGAAAACGTATCCCTATATAATAATAATAATAATAATAATAATAATAATAATAATAATAATAATAATAATTGTAATACCACAGGGAAAAAGTTTAGGCCAAGAAAATTACGTAACAAGCACGATTGAATGGATAGTATACACTAGAGAAAGTAATTCATTAAGAGTTCGGTTAGTAGTGATGGTTGATAATAACTTAAGTAGCTGAAGAGAACAGATTTTACCCACACCGATGACATTATCACCGATCTAATTATGTAGGATTAGTCTGAAAAGAAAAGAGGCGAGGAGATTAACATGAAATGACATAATTCTGTGAAATCCTAAGCAGTCAACACAGTGTACCGAGGAGTCCCAAACAGTCTGAAATGTGCATCCTGCGTTCCACTGCCAGTCACCATTCAGGTTAAGTATCAGAAATCAGAAAAGCACCCACACAAGGAGCCGACATATCAACAGAGACTGAACATTTTGGTCGAATCAAAATTGTACTAAAAGTAAGCAATAATTGATACCGATTGCGCAAGACGTGGTGGCCCAAGTGGTTCACTGGTTAAGGCTTTAGCGTTTCAAATGACGCGTACTGGTGTTCGAGCCCCAGTGGGAAAAATATCCTACTCACTGCGCAATGCACGTAAATCCACCTGACAAGTCCCAAATACAACGAAAAGCAAATCCACTCAACAAATTACTTCAAGTGTCCTTGTGATGTTCAAGAAACTTATTGGCAGAAGATTCCATGAGATGGAAGGAGAACAGAATACAATAATATAAATAGATATTTGCATCATCTTTAAAGCATGCAATACCCTCTATGCATTTTCACTGAACTACTCATTATTGATATTATTTCATGCTCACACATTGTGAAATACATCAAATAAAGTATAATTATACTTCAATAGTTTGCACACAATGATAACTTTTGTTATTGGTAATATTTCGAGCAAAATTACTGCCCGTGATCACACATCAACTGTATTGGAATTGTTTGGTTTGTTTGAGTTCACACATTTATGATTTGTACTCATCCATAAATAGTTCATTATTTCTTTCTCCATTCATTTTTGTGTATTCAGAATTATATTCCAGGTTGTTGACAGTTGTGCTACTGAGTCACTCTTGTCACGTGCATCTGGAGTGATCTTAATCAATATAGATTCGGTTGTAAGTCTCACTTTCCTTTTGTTCGTAGTAGTTTTCAGAATACAAACATTGTTCCAATCAATATTCTGGCTTTTGTTCCATGCATGTGCAGCTAGACATGAATTTTATTCTAAATTCTTGTAAGCTTGTGTTCCTTCCTGTTGGTTGACCTTTAGTTAGGCGTTTATCATCATCATCATTCACTCTTATTTTCAGTGATCTGAACGTTTGACCCACACATTGAGTCGGACACTCGACACAAGATATTTTGTAAATTACATTACTACTTTTATCCATCATTTTTATTGGATCTATCAGTTGATTTATTTTATTTTTAATTAGATTCGTTAATTTAAACGTGATGCGAATCCCCATACTTTCCTGAGGTTTCTTCGAATTGCCTCTGATGTACCATTTTTCTATGGTATTCTGATCGTCTTTTCGCCATCCTCCTACGTGTCATTCTCTAGCTTTACCCTCTTTTTCATATTATTTATGATAAATTCGTCTGGGTAGTTGTTGTCAAGTAACACTGTGAATAAGACGTTTATTTCTTTACGCTGGTTCTCTGTTGTTGTAGTTGTTGTTGTTAGTCTACGTATTCTATCTGCAAGACCTTCTATTAATTCTCGTTTTACCGTGAGTCCATGGGGCTGAGTGATAATGTGTAGTTTTTTTTCTATACAGAGTCGTTTTCATGCTACCTACCATCTGTTACTCTTTGTACTTTGCAGTCTAACACACCCAGTTCCTCAATTTCATTCTCTACTTCCATATTGTGAATTCTACTCAGTTCACAGGATTGTTTATGTGTGTAAGAAGAATTTCCCAACATTGTTCCCTGTCATTATTACTAACGTATTGTCGTCTACATATCTCCACCAACATTTTATTGATGACCTGAATGGTTTAGGTGCATTCTTTTCGCGAAAATCCATGAATATGTCAGCTATTATTGGTGAGATGGGCAATCCCATGGCTACTCCTCCTTCATTTTGTTGGTATATTCTTCCTTCAAATTTAAAATATGTTCTTGTGAGACGGAATTCAACCTCTTTTATGATCTCTTCTACGGATAATCGTGTCCTGTCTTTCAGGTCATTATCCTCGTCTAGTCTCGTTTTCAGTGCATCCATAACCATCTGAATGGGTATTTTCAGTATAGACTGTTTACATCAAAGGCGACTGGTATTTCCTCTTCGTATATTCTAATGCCTTTTAGTCCTTACACTTACTCAAATGTCTGCCCGTCTGTCTGTTTTTGACATAGAACTTTCCAGATATGTTCGGCAGTTCAAGTCGCCACACTCCCTCTTTGTAACACACAAAGCAAGAGAAGAAAGTACAAGAAATGCATAATAGACACAGGAAACAGGGATATGAGGCATAAGGAATAATAACAACGAAGAACAATAGAGTCTCACTGGAAATCATAAGTCACAAGGAGTGGATGCATCTGAACCGGCCAGCCACTTTGAGCCACATCACCAATTCAATTCACCAATTGTCTGCAGCATTCATTGGTTTTTAACGTCCCGAGGAACCCAACCCGTCAGTCAGGAAGTCTACACCTTCCTACGTCACTGGCTTAAACTGACTGTTGTGGATTTCATTGACTGGTGTCCTGTTTGGTTTGATCCCCACTAGCTCTTTTCCAGTCTGACTCTATATCAGCTAACATAGCCCGTTCTCGAGGAAGGCGATGACTAGGCCACGCATGTGTAGCACATTTCCCAACCAGCTCGAGGTGTTCAGAGGACTCTGCTCTGTTTTGTCTGCGTCCTCGCCTAAAAGGACCATATCGTCTGCATATTCTAAGTCAACGAGATTATTCCCTGGTAGCAAGTCAATCCCTGTGTCTCTGAAGTGAGATATGAACCTATTCCACCGTTCGCTGCAGTCAGAGATGTTATTATTGAGCTATTCAAGCTCGAGATTGACCTCATCTAGGAATATATTGGATATTTTCAGTTACACATTAGTTAGTAACTACTACCATGCGTCTAGTGACATGGGTTCGAATCTCAGAAAAGGATATGACTTCTTTCAAGATTGTAGATACTTCTTGCTGACTGGTGAGTACTAACAAACAGAAAACCTCTACCCAAGGCTTCCAACTATCTAATGAGAACAATTCAAAGGCGCAGTAGTAGTACTTGGTGAAACTCACCTACCTGATGAAGAAGACTACACACATAAATGATGAGGAAACCGATTATACTCAGTACACACACATGTGGAACCTCGCCTAGATTACTAGCTCGCTAGTTTTCTTGTCGGTCCCAAGCCCGGATTAAGAGAGAGGGTTGGGGCGTGGTGATAGCAGCTCCACCCTCGTAAAACAACCAAATCGCTACAGAAACTTCAACGAATAAATATATTAAAAATTCTAAAATTATAAACAATAGCCTTATTTTTCGCTGGAATCGGGGAAGTGAAATGACGCAGGCTGGTGAAAGCCTTCGGGAAGCCAGTCAGCCGATGTGCCTTCTTTCGATGAAAGCAAAAGTAAGGATGGGTACCTGGAATGTTCGTACAATGTACGAAACTAGAAAGGCTGCCCAGATAGCCGCTGAAATGAGAAGGTACAGAATAGAAGTGTTGGGAATCTGCGAAAGCAGATGGAACGGAACTGGAAGGTGACAACTACCAACTGGAGAGACAATAATCTATTCCAGTCACCCAGAGGACAATCACGAGCACACCGAGGGAGTGGCCGTCATGATGTCACCAACAGCAGCCAAAGCTCTCATGCAGTGGGAAACAATCTCCTCCAGGACAATGACAGCCAGGTTCAGCTCAAAAGGAAGGAAAGTTACAGTCACTCAATGCTATGCGCCTACAAACGTCTCAGAACAAGAGAAGAAGGAGGCGTTCTACAGACAACTACAAGCAATAATGGACAACGTCCCAAAAGGCGATATCAAAATCCTGATGGGCGATATGAATACGAAGCTGGGAGGAGACAATACACGAAGAGAACTCACCATGGGTCGAGAGGCCCTCGGTGAAATGAACGACAATAGTGAACTCTTCTCAGACTTCTGCGCCTTCAATGATTTGGTGATTGGTGGCAGCGTTTTCAAACACAAAGAAATACACAAGACGACATGGATTTCACCAGATGGAAACACCAAAAACAAAATGGACTTCATCTCATTCTCAAGAAAGTGGAGACGAAGCCTACTGGACACAAGGTCGGGGAGAGGAGCAGATGTGGGTTCAGACCACTATCTAGTACAAGGGACTTTCAAGGTGAAGCTAAAAGCCTCGAGGATAGCTGGGGATAGGCCACAATGCAAGTTCGACACTCGATTACTGAAGGACACAACCACAAAAGACACTTTCACTGCAACTGTCAGAGCAAAGCAGGAAACACTACGCGACATCACTGAAGAATCATGCGTGGAAGACCACTGGAACTCTCTCAAGGTGATTTTCAATTAAACGTAGTCAACGGTTTTAGGAAGAAAGAAGAGACAAGACAAAGAAAGGCTCTCAACGGAAACTTGGAAACTAATAGAAAAGAGGAGAATGGTGAAAAAGAAAATAATTCAATGCAAGGACGGACAGGAGAAGGAGACGCTGAACTCAACTTACACAGCGCTGGACAAAGAAGTGAAGAAGAATGCTAGAAAGGACAAAAGACAATTCTACGACAATCTGGCCACTGAAGCTGAGAAGGCAGCAGGCAAAAGCGACCTGACGACATTATATCAGATAACCAAATCTCTATCCGGGAAGAGATCAACACAAGCGAAACATGTAAAAGACAGACAAGGGAACCCAATTACCAAGGAAGAAAGACAGATTAAAGAATCGGCGGATCACGTCAAAGTACTCTTGAACCGACCACCACCTGCAACCCGTCCAGAAATACCAACAACAGCGCGCACACAACTGCAAGTTAACACCAATCCTCCAACGAGAGCTGAAGTCTTGAATGCAATCAAGACTCTGAAAGCTGGAAAAACAGCTGGACCAGATGGAATACCCCTTGAAGCAATAAAGGAGGACCCAGAGACTACAGAAGACATGCTGACTCCATTATTGCAAAAAGTCTGGAAGGAGGGAAAGGTGCCTACTGACTGGAGGAAACGTTACCTCCTGAAACTACCAAAGAAGGGAGACTTAGGACTCTGCAAGAACTGGCGAGGAATCATGCTCCTGTCGACGCCAAGTAAAATCCTGAGTCGCATCATCCTGGAGAGAATAAACGACGCACTGGATACACAACTCAGACCAGAACAAGCTGGATTCAGGAAAGGCAAATCATGTACCGACCAAATTGAAACTCTACGCATCATCATCACAGAACAAAGCATGGAATGTCATTCAAACCTCTACCTCAACTTCATAGACTTAGAGAAGGCCTTCGACAGCGTTGACCGTGAAGTAATTTGGAAATTACTCGAGTACTACGGCGTACCCCAAATATTCATCAACCTTATTCAACAGCTATACGACAATGACATATGTCATGTGATCCACAACGGAAAACTCAGCGAGGCGTTTGGAATAAACACAGGAGTCAGACAAGGGTTCTTATAATCACCATTGATATTCCTAATTGTGGTGGACTAACTGGATTATGCGTCAGACAGCGAGTGGGAAACGAGCAGACAGGGATATCCTAGACCGACGCGGAGAACCTAGAAGACCAGGATTTCACGCGTGGATGATTCATGCTTGATGTCACACAAAATCGAAGACTCACAAGCGAGCGAAAACCCACAAACTGGTCGAAGAAGCAGCCGGCGATGACAGGACTCCAAGTGAACATAGACAAGACGGAGGTGATGAAAATAACTAAAAAACAACAACAACAGCAGCAACATCCACCGTCAATCACCATCAACGGGAGGGATTTGAAAGAGGTCACTTCATTCACTTATCTAGGGAGCATTGTATCAACTACAGACAGTCGGAATGGACGAGGATGTCAAATCGAGCGAGAATCGGGAAGGCGAGAAACACATTCATCAACCTGAAACAAACCAATATGGAAATCTTCGTCACTCAACATCAACAACAAAATTCAGTCGGATTTTCAATACAAGCGTCAAGTCAGTTCTTCTATACGGATCAGAAACTTCGCGGGCGGGTAACAAAGAATATTTCCAACAGCCTGTTGTAGACCTACCTTTATCAACCAACAACTGTCTTCGCTGGCTCTATACTGAAGATCAGATGGCCGGGCCGGAAACAATCACCAACAAGAAACTATGGGAACAAACAAAACAAGAACCAATCGCCAACCAACAAATATGCAGGAGAAAGTGGAGATGGGTCAGACACTCGCTGAGGAGACCGCTGGGTGACATCGCGCGCACGTCAGGCCATTGCCCAACTGGAACCCAAAAGGGAAGCCGCCAGTGGGACGTCTGTGCAAGGGTGACATGGAGGAGATCGTGTGAAGAGGAGTTGAAAGAGTATGAACTAACATGGATGCAGGTGAAAAGGACAGCAGAAGACAGAAGTGGCAAGTGGAGACGTGCAGTTGAAGCCCTATGTTCCACTAGGAACCCAAGGGAGGGATAACAATAATATAATAATAATGAAGAGCCAGTTAGCTGCATAGGCTGTACAATTAGGCGTATTTATCGTCGGATTTCCGAACACCAAATCCTGCATAGTGGTTAAGTAAGGGACGAACAAGGTCCATTTAGAGTTCTATTCTATTTCATCTCGTGGGTTCAGGACACAAGATTCATGCTAATAAGGCCTACAAAGCCAGAGAATGGGAAAAGGTATTTACCGGGAAGAATATTCCTTGCTCTCTTTTGTCTTCTAAATGCTCAAAATGAAATTAATTCATTCTCGGCTGTTTCTTCTGCGCATTAACAACTTTCGATGTGGAAAAACGCACACTCAAGAGCCACTCCGACAAATTTCACTGAAGATTTTTTTCCATTAAAATCGGAATATGATTTGTAAGAACAAGAGTGCTGAAGTATCGAGTAGTTGGTTTGTCCACTTTCTCTTTACTCTATATAAATATCCTGAATTTGTTAATCCTATAAATAATAGCTTGAAGTTCCTTTCACTGGTGGTCATTTCTCAGCGATACTCAACCAATTCATGACTTCAGATTACGCGCGTAATTTACTTAATTTACTGACAGAAATTTTCATGTGTTCGGTTACCAACTGATGTTGTGCGTCGGTGGAACAACGGTTAAACGCTCATCAACCACACCTCAGGTGGTCCGGGGTTCAATACCCGGACGACGGACGCACTCCTCTACCTCCCTAGGCCAGGAATCATACTGGTATACAGAGGGAAGATTGGGCACCAGGCTACCAACTCCATACCATATATAAATAAACAGCAGTGCTATGTTCC